GCCGCTACAGCTCGCAGATGGCAGCAGCACTCCGCGCAGGAAGTGCGGTGGTCAAAAAGGGACCCCGCAGGCCCTCCTGTAGAAGAAGCTGGGGAAGGAGATCACCCCCCTCAACGGAGACTCGAGTGGGTAACTCCCCGAGGTTGGGCGTCGCCGTTTCTTGTTTTCTCGGGGGGTGCGCTAGGTCTTCGCGGGATATTTCGTCGCCGTTTTTGTTCCGGGGTTCCTCGGCGTCTTTTGGGGCGCGCGATGCGGACCGCGGCTGGCTCGCTGGCCTCCTTGGGGCGCGTGGCCTCATGGGGGGCGCCGCCGAAGGCCCCAGTGTCAGGGTTCATATTTGCCCCCATGGCAAATTTGGGCACACGCACACACGCACACACACATGCACACGCACACATCACGCGGTTCGTGGCCTCATAGGGAGCCAGCTCCACCGAGCGCTTCAATAGCAGGGATCACATGCGTCCCAAGTCCAGTTTTGGCACACCCCTCACACGGCGCGTGGCTTCATAGGGAGATTCAGGGAGTTTCACCAAAGGCCTTCGTGGTAGGGTTCGCATGCGTCCCGGTAAGTGTTTTGGCGTGTCGTCGTCGCTGTTTTGCTCGAAGAGGTTCATTGAAGTTTTGCGTTCGGCTCGCCGTTTTTGGTTGGGGTGGGTTTGTGTGGGGCGAGTCACGTCGCCGTTTTTCGGTGACACTCGGTAAGTGTGCAGGAATCAAATTTTCTTCGCTGGTCTCTCTGATCGGATGGTTTAGAATAAAGGTATTGGTTTATCGATCGATGGCGCGAGGTGCCACGGGGAAACAAGGTGGCCTTGGCGACGCCGAAGGGCGGGGCGTTCCATCTGAGCTACTGGAACGAGCTCCCGTACCTCGCCAGCCAACAGCTTGAACAGGTTTTGGCAGATCTGCCCGAGCCGGGCGTGCCCGGCCAGCGCGGCAGAGCAGCCGGGGCAAAGGCGGCATCTACTTGCATTGTCTTGGGCCCGCGCGCTGGCGCGGCACGGCTCCCGCCTCCGGCAGAGACCAGGAAGGACATCCGCGGTTGCCTGGGTCGTCTGGCGGATGACATTGACAAGGGCCAGCGTGAGAATATGGTCAAGAAGTCAAGAAGTACATCGTCAGCGCAGGCATGTACAAAGATGGCAACTCCCTAATCGGACCGCAGCAACTGGGGAAGGGCACGGCCATGGATGATCCGGGCCATACCAGAGGTAATCCCGCCCAGATGCGGGAATCGGTGGCAGGGTCGGGCAAACTCAGCGCGATGGCCCGTGAGGAGAACGTTGCGCATCTCCCGCCCGTGGACCGCCGCCGGGATTACCACGCGGGGCGCCTCTCAGACCAGCCACGCTTGATGTTCACCTTCATGCTGTACGGATGCGAGACCCTGTTCGCGAGTCCCACGCGTGCGCCGCGGGGCGGCACTTCCCGCGGTTGGGGCGGGGAGAAGCTCAGGGACGAACGTGCGGCAGAGGGACTGTCCCTATAGTTTCTCACTGTGCTGCGTTTCCTGCAGCTCGTCATGGGTCGTGCTTGCATACCGGACCCCCCCCGAGGCTCCGACCTCTACGCGGAGTCACAACACACGCTCGCTCTGCCACACTTGCGAACTACCTTGGGCCGGAGCATGCGTTGACGGAGGCTGGATCCGTAAGAGTACCGATTTCAATTCCAATCATCCTTTGCCTTCGACGGGAGCCATGAACATGTTCATCTGCGTGGGCCCAACAAGGTCGGGTCCAAGATTGCCCAGGCAGCTGTATACCCTGATCTTTTGCCGTGCTATTTTGCCGACTGTTCAGAGGATTTCCACCACGCAACGTGGGGGGAGATTTTGACATACTCCAAACAATTGGGGCTGTACTCGGCGAGCGTCGCGTGCGCGCTCAGCGTCAAGGGCGCCGTGCTGCTTGGGATCTTATGGTTGCGCCATGGCTGCGGCTGCATCCACAGCTCCAGTTGCAAAATCTGGGCCCGGATGCACAGCTATACGTTGCAGCGGCGGTTAGCAGTTCCTCCGCCCTGGGTGTCATGGGATTGCGGGCCAGACCGCGCGCGCGCCAGAAGCGCGCGCGGTTCGAGATCCCCCCGCCCCCGGGTGTCATGGGATTGCGAGCCAGACCGCGCCAGGAGCAAACGCGGTTCGAGATTCTTCCGCCCACGGGTGCCATGGGATTGCGAGCCAGAGCGCGCGCGCACCAGACGACTCAACAAAGCAGCTTGCTTCGATGACAAAACAGCTTCAAAACTTGAGCTGATGCGTCAGAGCGTTCAGGAGAACGCGCGCACGCTCATGCGTGACCAGCCACAACAGGCCACCATGGCCGCACCCGCGCGAATTGACGACAAAGAAGTATTGGATGAGTCTTCCAGCGCGCCTTGCGTGGAGGGCCTAGTGACAGGCGCCTTGATGGACGACCCGCGGCAGTTCCGCCCCCGCGACAGAGCGTCGTCTACTGGGCAGGCGGCAGCACAGCGAAGACACCAACGCCGGAGGCGCACCAACACCTCGATTGGAACGGCGTCTGTTGATCTGTCAGGAGCACGCGAGCCTACTCCAATAGTCGGAGCGAAGATTGGCCAACGCCCTGGCCATTATTATGTGACTCTCACAATCAATCCAGATGGCGAGGCAGACCTTGATGGAAAGAGCTCAGAGACGACAGACGACGCCCAACAACCACAGCCGCCGCCGGAACCGCAGCAACCACCATAACCACAGCAGCCAGTGGAACAGCAACAACCACCAGAACCACAGCAGCCACCACAGCGGCAGCGGCCGCAGCAACCACCTGAACCACAGCAGCAGCAGCAGCCGCAGCAGCCACGACAACGCCGCCCAAGGCTCCCACTGCTCGACGCTGAAATGGTCTCCACAAAGGCGAAAGCTTCTGCTGCTATGCAGCGACTGCTGGCTCGCGTGCGGGATGATCATAAACGTCTTCCTGGGCGCGTTGTGTTCTGCGTGCGTTCTGACAAAGGTCAAGAATTCTTAGCGGCATCTTTAGAAAAGTATCGCGAATTCCATGGTGCCCGGAGAACTACAACAGCTGGGTGCGATCCGTCTGCGAATGGAGCCGGTGAAGACGCAATTGGATACCTCAAGCGGAAAGCTAGACAATTTTTGACCGGCGCGCGCCGCCCAAGCTGCTGGCGGGGAACAGCGGTGCTTACTGCAGCCTTCTACTCAAGATGCGCCGCAGGCCTGGAGACATGGCCAGCGCTCGCATGCGGCACAAGAGTTTTGGTTGTGCAGGACCCTGTCCCGAGGAATGCCTTCGTGCCGCGGGCGCAGCCTGCCGCGGCGTTTGGGCCGTCAGAGCGAGTGCCTGGTGGGGTGGTTGTAGTTCAACAGGGTAGACTCAAATAAGTGGTGAACATGCAGACCTCGTCTCTGGAGGCAGAGGAGCTCGCGTTCGTTGATGCTCACATGGAGGAGTGGGGCGCGCACATTGCCCCACGCGCGGTTCCCAAGTCAGACGGATGGGGCGCAACGACAATAGGTCAGCGCGGTGACAATTTCGCAAGGGGGCCCTTGCTCGATGGCCAGGTGCCACTACCAGGAGCTGGCGAAGACAATCCTCCAGCAGAGGCGCCGCGGGTTGAAGAGCTTCCTGAGCAAACGCGCGCGCGGTCTGAAGAGATGTTCGATGGCCTCGGCAACGGGGGGCAGCGCGTGGAAGAGCAGCGAGGCGAGATCCGCGAGGGCAAGCAGCAGATTGTTGGCTTCTTCGATGAACAGGCACGTCCGCAGTCATCCAGTGCATGGAAAGATGGCGCGCCTTCCTTCCGCCTTGGGGTGTCGCGGGGCAGGCTGTCATGTCAGCGTGGAGCTGTGCCGGCAGTGCATCCTCACGCTGCACTTGCCTTGTCCGACGTGGAGTCTTGCGCCCAGGCCCAGGCCACATATGCAACTTCTCACAGTGCGCGCGAGCACGAAGCAGCCGCGACTGATGCACCAGATACAGAAGACGTTTTTGTGGAACTCGAAGACATTCATGAGTGATGATGACAAGTTTGTTGTAGGTCCCAGCGCGCGGTCCGAACTGACATCATCCCCGGAACATGCCCCTGCCGACGCTGCCGTAGCCGCGCCGGCGCCCACTGCGCCATGGGAGGAATGCTCTGACCATGCAGAGGACGAAAACACTGTCAAGCAGGCTAGACGCTCGCGCCGGAGGCGTGGGAGGCAGAAGCTTCGATGCCGCGGCGCATGGGCGCCGCCCCCGCTGGCGGCGTCTGTTGCAGTTGCGGGGGAGTCAGACGAGCGCGACGTTCACCCGCGCGGCATCCTTGACGAGGGCGCTGGATCTCAGTTGCCTTCTGAATCAGGAGCCACATTTGTGGCCGAAGCAGAGATCTGACTAGCTACAGGGTCCCAGTTCGAGAAATGGAAGACCGCAGCAGAGACGGAGACGGAGGTGCACGACTCCTCCTACATAATGTCTGCGGTCACCAACACCACGAAAGAGGGGCGGGCTCGCGGCTGTAGGCGGCTACTCTGGCGCACTGCCAATGAAGGCAGCGTGGGCCGTAAAACCAGGAGGGGCCCACAGATGCCACGGGCGTGCCCGCGGCAATTTTGCCGCCAAGGATCCCGCGGAACAGGCGAACAAAAACTTCGTTATCTATGTGGAACGGTGAAACACGGATTGCGTCTTCCTTCTGGTGGTAACGAGGTGGAATTAGTGGGGTGACCAGATGCAGGACGCGGCGGACTCGGAACGAAAAGCCAAACGGGTGTTCTTGTCTCATGGGCAGGGGGAGTTGTTATGCGGAGATCTTCTCGGCAACGAACTGCTGCTTTGTCTACGTGTGAAGCCGAGGTCGCCGCCGCAGCCATTGACTTTCAAGTCATCGAGGGGCTCGTGGGGCTCCTGGTGGGGCGGGGCGTGCAGCTCCGGCCAATCACAATACTGATCGACAACAGATCTGCCCTCAGCGTGGCGGAGTTTAGAGGGGCGCGGAGGACCCGGCGCTTCGCCGCGCGCTGGGAGGCTGTCTGACGAGAACCTCCAGGGCAGCAACGCGCTGGCGCACCGCCCCACTTCCGACGCGGCAGCAGACGCCCTTAGCACGTGTACTATGTTGAACAACATGAGAGGCACCATGAACGCCGAGTTCCCGCCGATCCCGCACAACGCCGCGAAGGACGCCGATTCAACGCGGTGGGCGGCGATGCTCCGGCATCGACGTCCTCTCCGCGGCGCGAGCGCGACGCATCGCACCAGGGTCACACCCGGTCCAGCCCGGAGCAGCGATGAGGCAGGAGATGGCCTTGCGGCCGACGAGCTGCACTGGCAATGGACTGTGGAAGTTCTGACAGAAAAGACCATCCACAGTTGGGGCGCGTTGATGAGCTGAAAGCAAATCGAAATTCTACGTTTCACGAACTTTACCGCGCCTTTTGCTACAAGTACGGCATTGCGCCGCAGTCTCGCGTTTCATCTTCGACCCGTGCCACGCGCGACTCTACTCTTGGACGTGGCGCCAGGGGGCCCGGGGCGAATGGCGAGGCAGCAGGCGCTGCGGCGTCTGCATCGTCGTCGAAGCCGCCAGGTTCGAGAGCGACGTCCTCTGCGCGGCAGTCTAAGGGGGTCGATCTGGAGAACGCGGACGAGACGGAGGACGAGGACAATGTAGATAGCGACCCCCCCGCCCCCGGGCGTTAAGGGGCTGCCCGCCGCAACTCTACAGAGACTCCGGAGACGGCGCGGGGCTCGCCCAGAGAGAAGGAGCCACTCGCAAAGGAGGCGCTGAGGGATATCCTGGAAGGGGTTACCCGGCTCGGGGAGCAGGCCGCGAGGTCCCTCTTCGTCGCGCCGGACTGCAACGCGAAGTGCCGGCGCGTGTTGGGGCCGCACAGGCGGTTCTGCGAGCGGCAGCGCGAGGTGATGCGCGTCGCTGAGCGGGGCCGCGGCGGCTACGCCGCCCAGCAGGCCGAGGCCGACGCGGCCGCGGACGAGGCCGCGCCCGTGGGCGGGCGCAGCCGGGGCAAGAAGAGGCGCAAGCTGACCGGAGATAGGCGTGCGAAACGCGCCTGGGGGCTGCTGGACAAAGCGTTGGACGACGCGCGGCAGTCCGGTCACTCTGGCCGACAGGACTGAGGCCCCGTCAGGGGGGAGTGCGCGACGCAGATGCAGGATATAAACACATATTGGCTTGTCTGTTGTTCTTCGCATTCTGATTGGAAGCAGCAGTCGCCGTTGCGTAGTTTTTCGGCAGCCGCCCTCCCGCCCGCGGGCGTCGCGGGACGGCCGCCCGGCGAATCTCCGTTCCCCCGCCCCCGGGTGTCACGGAACGGGAACGCAACTTTGCATGTGTGACTAGTGTATTAGGTACTCCCTCCGCTGGTCTGCGTAAAGATAACTGCGCTTCAGTCTTCCTCATGGGAGGAAGTGCCTGCGCGGGCGCGACGAGGGGGCGCGTCTGCCCGCGCGACAAGAGAGGCCGCTGGCGCGAGCTGCTCGAGAGGGCGGCCAGGGCCACAGGCCCAGCGCGACGGCGACTTTCCTTCCCTCATCTTTCAATGACTAAGATATCGGTGTGTGCGACTGTCTTTATATAGTCTTCACTGGCAGAGCAGGCAAGTAGCACAGTGAGAGCGCGCCCGAGCGCGAAGCATGATTTACCGCAGCGGCTTTGTCTCAAGGCGGCCAGCCAGTCGCACCTTCAAGGACAGAAACTGCTAACACCCTGCAGCCCGCACTGGAACATTGTCGACAAAAAAAGTTCTGGCTCCCTCCGCCCTCGGGCGTCGCGGGGGACCAGGATTGCGTGCGTCATCGTCGGAGACATGTCATTTCAACCTCATCCTTCTGCAGATAGATCTCATGACATGGACATGCCACTGGCACCCTGGGGAGTGGCCCCAGTTCTGGCCAGGTTCATACAACGCGAGCAGGGTCCGCGCGACGCGCCTGCCCCATGTCAGCACGCCCCATCATTCATCCCCCATTTTTTTGTGCACGTGCCTCGCGGTGCCCGAAACTTCGCGCGTTGAGCAGCTCGCCTGGATAATTTTCCAAGTTTTACCCCCCCCCCTTTTCCCTCCTGTCCCAGGTTTTGGCGTGGCCCAGAATGCGCTTCCTCTCCCCCCCGCCCTGCTGTCCGTTCTCCTTAATCTCTCTCCTGCTCGCGGTTCTCTCCCGCCCCCCGTTTCCACGCCCGCGTTACTTCCTCTTTTTCCGTTTTCCCCGCTGCGCCTTTTTCCCCTTCGTTCCTCCTCGCCCCCCCATTCGCCCCTTAATCCCTCCGCGTCCATCCCCGAGCATCCTGCTTCACTAGCAGGGCTGATGCCCAGTTTGGAAAACGATTCAATCCGTTCCCGTTTCATGTGCGACCCCCCCCCGCTTCCTCCCTCCCTGCCATCGTCGCCGTCGCCGTCGACGTCGCGTTTCCCCCCGCCGCCGACGTCCTCGTCGTCGCGCCCTCGGCGTCGGCGGCGTCGCCACCAGTGGGGCCACTTTGGCAGAGAAGCCAGCCCCTGCATGTGCAAGGGTATAACCGCGCGAAAAGTGCGCGATTGTTTTAGAGTGTAGATATCTACACATATGCATACACATAACACGTACACATGGCATCAAGTACACACACACGTATATTTTCACATGCAGATATACGTGAGCATGTGCATGTTCATGCATTTGCACACGCACATGTACACACACGAATACACAGTGTACAGTTGCAAATGCATATACCTATGCATATTCATATACATGTACATGTACATGTACGCTTAAATATACATATGCATGCATATATATATGTATACATCTATACAAACATGTACACACATTTACAAATACCTATTTTGAAGGCCTCACGGCCGGCGCCGCCGACCCTGTCCGGCACGACGAGGACGAGGAGGAAGAGCAGACTGAGGAACAGGGGGAGGAGGAAGAGGAGGAGGAGGATGACGAAAAGGAGGAGGAGGAGGAAAAGGACGAGGACGACAAGGAGGAGGATGAGGAGGAGGAAGAGGAGGAGGTGGAAGAGAAAAAGGAGGTTAGGAGGAGGTGGGGGAGGGGGATGAGGGGGATGAAAAAGAGGAGGAGGAGGAAGACAGGACGGAGGAAGACAATGAGGAGGAAAAGGAGGAGGCGGAGGAGGACGAGGACGAAGCCAAGTAGAAGGATGAGGAGGAGCAAGAAAAGGAGCAGGAAAAAGGAGCAGGAGGATGAGGAGGAAAAGGATGAGGAGGAGGAACAGGAGGAGGAGAAGGAGGCGGACGAGGAAGAAAGGAGGAGGAACAGGGGAGGGGGAAATGGAGAAAGAGGAGGAGGAGGAAGGGGGAGGAGGAGGAGGGGGAGGAGGAGGAGGAAAAGGAAGAAGAAGAGGAGGAGGAAGAGGAGGAGGAGGAGGAGGAGGCGGCGGAGGAGACGGGGGAGGAGGAGAAGGAAAAGGAAGAGGAGGAAAAGGAGGAGGACGAGGAGGAGGAGGCGGAAGAGGAGGAGGGGGAGGAGGAAGAGGGGCAAAAGGAGGAGGAGGAGGAGGAGAGAAGGAGGAAGATAAAAAAGAGGAGGCGAAGAAGAGGAGGAGAAGGAGGAGAGGGAATAGGAGGAGGAGGAGGGGGAGGAGGAGGAGGAAAAGGAGGAGGAAAAGGATGAGGTTTCGACCCGCCTGGCTGCGGCACAAGCTCGGGCGATGCCGACCTCCGACGGGGAGAGCCCCAAGGGCGCGCGGCCCTCTCAGCATGCGGAGGGCGACGACGACGACGACGACGACAACAGCGACGGCGATGACGACGACGACGACGACGAACGACAACGACGACGACAACGACGACGACGACGACGACGACGACGACGACGACGACGGCGACGACCGCGGCGGCGGTGACGATGGCGACGACGACGGCGACGACGACGACGACGACGGCGACGACGACGTCGACAGCGGCGGCGGCGACGACGGCGACGAAGGCGGCGACGACGACTTCTCATGACGAGGATCTCTCTGCAAGCTATCAGCTCGACGGAATTTCAGACAGGAGTGCTCGGTCCCTCCATGAAACGCTGCCAGGGGCAATGCGGCGCCAACGCTTCAATGCGCAGCAAAATCCCACATCGCAGAATGAATTCAAAACCTTCGGTTCTTGGCCTCCAGCGTCGTAGTTGACAGATTCGGCGATTTTGCGTATTTCGTCGGCGCTGGAATAAGCCGTTTGACCCCGTCTCCAGATCCTGGGGGGGGGGGTCGTTGCCCGAGCGCGAAGGGGCCGAGATCATCGACGTGGCCCAGGGGAAAAGCCCAGGTGGAACTGCGCGGGGGCTCAGACACAGAGCGCGCGCGCTGGAGGCGCAGAAGAGACAGCGCATCGCAACTTTCGACCGGGCGCGCGGGCGCGGCAGCTAGGTCGTGAACGACTGGCGCGCCAGGGTTGCGTCGGCGCGGGCGCCCAAGACGCGGCCGAGACTGCTGCGGGCAGCCTGCGGGCGCTATTGTTTGGGGCGGGGTGGCGGCGGCCGCCGCGGTCGACCGCGCGCCGCGCGACGCCTGCTCATTCCCGCTCGCGGCCCCGGAGCCCGCGCCCTCATTTTCGGGGGCGACGTCGCGGGCGCCGCCAGGGCGCCCGGGGGGGCGCGCCTTCGGAAGATGGCCGTCGACGCGGCGGCGGAGGTGGAGATCGACAGCGAGCGCGCTGAGAAACCCCTGGTCGTCGCAAACGCTGGGGCGAACAACTGGGCGCGCGCCGCCCGACGTCGCGAGGCAAGAGCGCCGAGAGCCAGCGCGGCGGCGCCCTTCGCACGGCCGAGGCCCTCCTGCCCGCCGCCGAGAAGCTTTGGAAGCAGTGGGTGGGCAGCCGAAGGATTGCGGCTTCGCTGAACGAGAACGCAAGAGCATCGGATGTCAACGGGCGCAAGTTCAACCGCGTCGCCGCGGAGAGGGCCCTGGCGCGGCCCTCCGAGCGCAAACTGATTCGAGGCTGGCCGGGCTCGCTAGCGCGCCGGGCGCGCGGGCTGGAGCGGGGGGCGGCGGGGGGCCGCGCGGCGCGCCCGCGCCCGATTCGGCGCGCCCCGCGGCGCTTTTGCCGGCCCCTGTCGGGGCTCCACCGAATGCCCCCGCGGCGGGGTCCGCATGGCGCATCCGCATCCGATTCGGCGCGCCCCTCGCACGTTTCGCGGCTTCGCATGGAGCTCAGCTCCACCGACGGACCGAGCGGCGCGGTCCGCATGGCGTGCCCGCGCATGATTCATCGCTCCCCGTCGCATGTCCCGAAGCCCCGTAGGGGGCCCCACCGAAGGCTCCAGCGGCAGGGTTCGCACGGCGCGGCCCCGTATGGAACCCTGTCGAAGGCCCCGTGGGGCCAA